AACGTCAAATTTGTGATGTGAGCTTTGCTTAAGATTTTGATTAAAAGATTAAACGGTTGTCTTTTGGAAGCATTTTATACAGGGAGATCATGTGCATAAATTAACTGATCTTTATACGTGCTGAAAATCAGGTCAAATTTTTAATTTTGTGACAGTGAAATGAAGTATTATGATTAAATAAAACGAAAAGCATTTAAGACGATGAATAAACACAACAACTGTTGTTCAGAATGAGGAATTAAATTGAACTCTGACAAAAACTGCGTTTGAAATGAACTCCATGACATCTACAGAGCTTGAAGAAACGGGTCAGAGAAGATGAGAATCTCCACCAAGTGCAAAAGTATAACACCTAAAAAGAAGAAGCAATTAGCCATGGATTTATCAGCAAAACCATGTTTGTCCTGCATTCGTAATTAACGCAAAAATTCTAAAGGTTCAATTATCTACGGGCATGTTACCTACAGATCTGTCTTCATTCCCAAAATTCGGCCAAGAAGAAACAAGTCGGAGCTCCAAAACTCGACAGGTTTTTTCTATTTGACATCGGTGGCGGAGGCAATGCTGTTGAGGGAGAAAAACATATAACAGTCTTATGAGTTGGAAAAGGCACGAATTAAGCGGGAAAAGCAACCCACCAAAAGGATGAGGTAAGAGGTAACAAAAATCTTGATATCATTAAAAATGAATGTGAAAACAACTTTATCGTGAACGACAGAACATAGCGAAACCGAGAAACATGAAATAGTTTGGCAACATTCCAGCCAAAAATCCCCGTTCGATACGATCAAACTAGCAATGTTCATCGGGATATTTCAACAATGTCAGTGCAAGAATTTCAAAAAATTGAAACTCGACGATAAATATCAACTTATGTATTTCAAGCTGCATCCTGCTCTGCGTATTTTGGAATAGCTGATATCATTAATCATCTATATGACATTTGTTTTTACAATTTACAAATTTAATCTAAAAAACAGAGCAAAAAATTGATATTGACAATGTAAGCAGAAAACTGTGATTCATGGGTGAGTAAGGAATATCAAAAACTGTACAGAGAGCAATATACTTCTCATCATTTTGATGCTAGAAACCGGTGCAACAAAACTTTATGAATTTGTACATTTTCTCTTCCTGAATGAATGAAAAGGTCGGTCATTTTCATAATATCAGTGAAGCACCAAAAGTCGTAATTTGTGCAATATGTTAAAGAAAGCTGCATAAAACAAACAGACGAAATAGATCGTAATTAACTAGATCAACAGTAATTACCTCGTATTGCTGAAAAATGTCTATGTACGAAGTGAGATGAATTTTGGCCAAAAGACTGTTCATATCAATAATTTCTTCAAATCTGCACGATTCGTTCTTTGATAATGATCCCAGTTCGAAACAATTTGTAATGCTGAGTCCTAAAACATAGCATAAGCATCATTGAAAACCAGTCAACAAATGCCGGTAAGGTCTTTATTCGACAGAAGCTTATATCACCGTTCCAAGAAGTAAAATGTTGAAGCTAGTGGTTGGAAAAGCGTTATACACTGAAGTCTATTCCATCAGACTGCATGTAATAACAACAATAAGAAATTTACGTGTTTCATCTGACAGCTTGCCTTTCATGCAGAGTTCGCTGACCATCCTTCCTTTTGCCACGCATGCAGCTACAGCTGAGCATTCTCGATTAATGCGAAAGCTGTAATTCTTCGCTGGAACCGATCGGCTGAACCCCATCGCTGACCACTTACCATTTGGAACGCGCACTCCACGCGCATTTTCCTTCATGGCCTTTATTGCCAGAAGTTTCTGTGCTTCGTAAGAATTTACAAGGTCGCTTTCGGTTCTCTCGCTAAAACATTCTCGGGTTTTCAAAAGAGTCGTTACTACAGGGTTTCCGTTTTTACTCACCAACGTCTGAAGCTCTGATTATGATCGCTTGAAGAAAGAGAGACGTAATGCGCTGACGGCGATTTTACTTTTGCTACACTTGCAGGCGGCAAGTCAAGAACTGGTGCTGGGTGTTCATCGGATCGATCTCGGAAAAGGACGACTTCTGCAGGCGAAGAATGTGCACTTCCAATACCACTGCTCGTACTGATGTTCGAACACCTTCTGTTTTCCTGTGGGTTGAGATTCTGTTGTGGACAGCTGTAAACACCGGGAAATGCGACGCTCAATGGTGAATAAGGACTTGGTACTAAATAAAAATCAGAAATTAAAACAAGACTCATTTCTTCTGTAAGGTCATATTACCGAAAGTGGGAAAGAAAGCATTCACAGGATAAGCTGGACTAGGCAAAGGACTGAACAGATATGGACCTGGACTTATGCTCAGCGAGGAAAGAGGCGTCATACTTTGATTTCTGTAGCACTCTGAAATGAAATATGAAACACTATAAACGCAAACAGGCATTCGCGCTTTGTAAAGTTAAATGAAGTAGAGGAGACAACTGATCTAAGCAAGATAGCTTGCGTTTCTGAGGCAAAGTAGCAGTAGAGTGCAGTGGTAGATTTGCATGACTGATGAAAGAGCGAGAATGCCTAAAACTTTCCTTAAGCTACTTCTTCTGGAACTTAGAAGTAACATATGGTCAAGAAGTTTGAAGCAAGCGAAATACATCAATGTGCCAATCATTAAGTAGCCATGGCAAAACGTACAAACATAAACAATCCGATTCCTGAACGAGTTTCAAGAATAACAGGGCATCTAATGAACACGTGCATGGTTCATTGATGCATGCATGCCAAGGTTCCCACAGCCAGCCCGTGCAGAATATTCAACTGTTCATTCCAGAAGAACGAGACATTCCTTTCGGACTGCACTCAAATGGCAGCAGCTACATGAGATTTTTTCAGCTGTCCTGGTCCTCCATCAATCAGACATTCCATAGTATGACAGTGCTAGCGTTCAGCATGCACCAGCCAGTCTACGCACGTCAAATATTGTTTTTTAAAAAGTGGATGCATTAATGATTCTCATTACGTAATAAAATGAACAATCTAAACAGTCAAATTGCAGACTTTGTTGAGGAGTACGTCCTGAGGTACGAAATAAAGCGTGGAATAATCAGAAAAAATGGTACACGAAACCCGCTTTTGTTAAGTATGTGCATCAATACCACTATTTCATCTTGCGTGATAAACCTAAATTTTAGAGGATTACAGTTTCCTCGAAGAATCTCATATTTCACTAATAATCGGACTGAAAATTATATAAATACGGTTTCTCTATCAGAAGTCTACGGAGCTATTCCATGCAACACACATTATGTAGCTATCCGTTACATCTGACAGTATCTGACGATCTGTGAATTTACCTCTGTATGGTACGTGGATCGTAATTGATATCCAACTTAGAGAGATCACAAAAAATCAAGCGTTAAGCAATCATGTCGGAAAATAGGCACATGATCATTTTTACCACTGTAGAAATTTTGCATGAAGTTGTATTCATTGCAGAACACTTGGTCGTCAGATGCAACGATCTGGTTTCGCACTTCATAGATGGCTGCAGCCTGGAATTCGTGGCCTTTGACAACAACTATCTAAATGTCACCCGGTTTCACGACTTTGGTTTAGCAGCAGCTGCGACTTGATTCCAACCTTGCCTTCAGCCTCTCTGCCTGGCTTCACCGTTATCAGAACATTCAGCTTCTTTTCTATTGCATGGACATTCACAGCAGTATTATTGTGCAGATCAAAAACGGCACAGAGAGGCAAACATCCCTAAAGAATGCACAGTACATAAGTAACTGTCACCTATTCTTTCATGCCACACTTACAATCAAATACTTTCTCGCGTTAATCACCTGATTCACCAAACCCTGAATGAAGAAAGTAGTCGACGTTGTGACCTCTCTTCTCGGGTAGTGAATCGATGCACCAGTGAGCTCGCATATCGTCTGAAGATGCACCGCTTCTGGTCCCACCACAGACGACTGCGACAAAGCAACTATTTCCAACGACGTGTAACATATTGCAGCCTTCTATTAATCGTTATGTTGAGAATTAATTTCGGAGATCAATGTTAGCATTACCGTATTCATCAGCCTCTGCTGTAAGGCCAAAACGATGTCTTGGATCAAGCACTGCTGGCCAGCGGATCCCCTGACCACAACGAAGGTTCGACCGGAGCAATGATTGACCCCAAACACGACAGTAATCCCTTTTGGAGCGAACTGATTGGTAAACTCGTTTTCCACATCAGTTAGTTCCTCTGGGGACTTGTCCTCATTCAGTTCGAAGGTGATTACCAGTGGAGCGAGGCCCTGCAACGGCACTACATTTAGAGGAGAATACGATTTATTCAGATTTTACTCGTATCATTTGACGCGCTATTTCAACGGTTCGAAGAGGGCCTGCGATTGAAACCTAGAAAAAATGAAAGTAAACTTCCATTAACCAAATCTTGACAGCCTTCTGAGTACCATGTTGCTCTTTTCAAGTTCTGGGTTTCGGTTAGAATCAGGAAAATGAATATGGCAGCCGGTTTCTTTCATAACCTGTTGCGTATTTCTTCCCTGTTTTCCAATGATGTGACTGTGATCTGTGTATGCTACGTCTATTTTTATGGTTATCCGGTTTTTCTGAAATGACACCAGGTTGGCTTAAATCAGTACACCGCAAAGCACAAATTGAAGCAATACAATTCAGAGAAGCGGCGTTACATGTGAGTACGTCTACTCACGGTGCTCCACGGTTATAAATGATCGAAAAGCCCTATTTATCAGACAGAGCGTTGTCAAAACCCCATTTCATCAGTTTCGCTATGATCAACATGTGCGCGTGGATATAAGTTTATATAGTCCATAATAAGCTATAAACCTAAGAGATGTGGAGATGAGATGGACTGTGTTTGCATTAGATAACCTTGTTTTGTTGGACATCATCTGAAACTGATCTCCATCGCACTGTAGAAAGGTTCGCAGCCGAGCGCGACGAGGCTGGCTCATGAGGTGAACGTGTCTGAAACAAAATCTAGTGATCACTCGTTATCCTCCATAGTGTGCTCTGGAGATAAACGGAGAAGCAGTGGAACGTGTGAAGTAGAATGACCACGGGATCGTGTGTACTGAAATTGAAAGTGGGAGGAAAAGATCGACCGGCGGATTAGAATGGTCAGTGATGTCCTGCGTGAACTAACTAGAACCGTTGGGCTAAAGCAGAGATCAATTTGAAGACTAACCTTTCTGTGCTTAAGCCGATCTTCATTTCAGTTGTCACCTACGGCGATGAGTTCGTGGGACATAACCAAAACACTCAGATCCTGGGAACAAGCGAATGAAATAGGCTTTCTGCGACAAATCGCTAGACTCAAGGGTATCGAGATGGTGTCTGAGAATGCCTTAGTGTACAGCCGTTGCTTCTTTAGATTTAGAAGTCACAGCTGTGATGGTTTGGGCACGTCACAGCTACTGCTTACACAACCGATTAGCCGAAATCCGCGGGGACAATCAAAAATGATCTGAGGCAAGTGTTTAGACTCGGGTCATATGCAGAAGTTCAAACGCTAACACAAGATCGTGAATACCGTTTGAGGCGTGTGCCTCCGTAAACCGGAATGATAATCGGTTATCGAAACTGACTGACTGTCTAACTAACTGACAAGAAGCTAAGCAGGGACAACATGAAACCCCGATTTTACCATGACAGACTGACGGAATTCTACCCTTAAGCTATTTGATAGATGGACTTTACTGGCGAATTACATTTTCAAATCGAAAATTCATTAGCTAATGAACTGCCTCAAATATTTTCCTAGCTATGATTTCACAAGTTATCTTCATGTGCGTATGCGATGCATCTCTTGATTTATTCTTATTTTAAAATTTTTATTAAGTAATTCGCATTTATAAACGAATAAACAAAAAATAAAATCGAAGATCATTAAT